AATTAAACTTTCAATTTAGTTGCATTTTCCTTGTGAGAATTCACTTCTAATTATGGTTATGGATACTTTGAGTATATTGATACGGAGACTAAGAAAACTATTTGGTAGTTAAGAAAATTGTAGAAGTATAGTTGATGCCGAAGTAGTTTGAGTTATGTTCTTATCCAATTAACTAAGGTTTTTCTTTGTCTTTCCATAGCACCAAGTGGGTTGCTCAAATTCATCAATGTTGTCAAATGTATGCCTGCAACCTTCAGTATCTTCCAGAATGATTCCAAGAAGGTAAGCAATAATATTGCTGCTTTGTTTTATCTCTGTGCCGATTTTAATGTTGGTGCACACTTTAAAGAAGAGAGCAACGAAATAGATGAGGTGATTCTATCTACAAGGTAGTAAACTACTAACTTTTCCCATATGATCGAGATGTTTACAATACGATTTACACAGCAAAATTATTCTTCAAAATAAATATAGAAGAATAGCTACAAGCGATTGAGTACAATTCATTTTATTTTACATGATTGTCTCTTTTGAACTAAATTGAAAATTAACTTTTGGAACTTTGGGTTGATGTGAAAAGCTCCTATTTTTATGTTGAGATGCGTTGAATTGTCTATAATTGAGCCTATTAGCTTACAAATGTTTTAGATCATATAAGATCAGAAGTCTTACTTGGTTATAGCTATGTCCTACTCGATTTCTTTGTTTAGCTCACCAGGTTCAAGATATGGCCTTTTAGAATTATGAAGTACACACTATAATTGTTTTGCATAGTAGTGATCTATGTTATTTGGCGATAAGATAGCAAAACAGTACTGATTTATTGTGTCATTAATGTCTTGAGCAGTGACATTGCATAAGACTTCATGTCATAAGTTAGACCAAATCAATAGGCAAACAAAGTATTCAGTCCTTTTGATGTCTAGCGACCTTCCAGAGATTATTTTATTTTCCCACCCTTTGCATTCACCTTGAATTTTCCAACAGTTTCCAAAATTTGATCAATGTGTAGTGTGTCCTCTTTCACCTGAAGCAAGTTTAAACATTAGATGTTATTCTGTCACAGAGTATTTATGATGTTTCAGATTCTCATTATAAAAATATTGATTTCGAGCATGATGTGCTTTACTTCTTTGTATCATCTCCTGAGAAATAAGATGTAGTCCGCCCTCATCTCAATAGTAACTGCGGAGGTGGTCGGTCAACAAAAAGAACATACTATGAAAAACTTAAGGAGACATACTTGTGTGTGATCTATCTCTAAATTATATTATAAAAATGAAATGCTAATTTTTTTCCTTAATTGCCAATTTAATCTTTAGTCTGTTGGCTCTTTGCAGTTGTCTTCGTTGCTCTTGGTTCATAGTTTGACCATCTAATACTAAAGGATTAAACTCATTTGCTGTACTTCTGTTAATCAAAAATGTGATGTAGGTAATTAAGTATCGGTGAGGCAAGACATATTCTGAAGAATGAACCTAACTAACTCTCTCTCTCTCTCTCTCTCTCTCTCTCNTTTTTGGGGATTTTGCTTATTACTAAGGCACACAAGTTTAAGAGTCATCGAGATTCATCAAGTTGATCTTCTCATGTTTTCCCTCCAGAGTCTGCTGTACCTGACTTATATCTATTATTTGCTGGTACACTATTACAATCCCAATTACAGTAGAAATCATATCCTATTATTTTGGTTAGAAAATTACTACTATATTTGGTGTAATGATATTTTGGTTTTATTGCTTTCTTGTGAAAAATTGCTTATTCTCTTACCTTGCTGCTAAATTTGGTATATGCATTTTCTCATGTTACGCGTAGTTTCAACAAATGATATTTGCATCAGTTTGTTAAAAAAGTAATAAAACAAAGGTCACTGCAAAGGTAAGATGTGGTATGCAAGTGGCAGGGTTCTTTTGCAGTAGAATTGATATTCTCTGATAGAATTTATTAATATCTTTTCCTACATTCATTTTCATTACTTTTCATATGAAAGAACCTTGAGGAGGTGCTATCTACTTCTGGATCAAGCTAATAGAATATGGTAAAAACTATAACCTTCTTCACAGTCATTAGTTTTCGTATGAAACAACCCTGAAGACGTGTTTTACAATGTCCATGACCTAAATCTGTTTTTGTTTTTCTGTATTTATATGGATACTTTAACTCTAGAGGATAGAAAGATTGGCAGAAAAAGGCAGAGGACAGGATACGAGTTTTTATATGTTCTACTGCTATGCTGATGAGTGATGAGATTTTTTTTTTTTTTTTGGAATCCACTAGGCATTGTGCCTAGGGTTGATTTTCATATATATAATATAAAGTACAACATTGGAGGGGGACATAAAACCTAACCTCCAGAAATAAGATGAAAGGGCATTTGTTTGTCCAACATTGACATCCAAATGACACCTGTATGCTGTGATGGGTTAGACCTAACATGAGGTTCCAATTATCTACCCCTAAGTGGTAGGTAATCAGATATACAAAATCAAGCTGAGAATAACCTAGGTCAACTATACAGACTAGCATAAGTAAACCTAAATCTATGCAAAAAAGTTGGAAAGGTTCTTCCTTATACAACAAGTTCTACATCTATACATGTAGAAATGTCCTAACAGGAATGATGCCTGATCAAGATCCTTGGTAGGGGCTATCTTCCACTTTGCTTTAGCATTGTAAACCAAGAAAGCCAAGTGGAAGATAACTGTCAAAAAGGCTCCAAGAGTGGATGCACTGGGCTGCCGCTGTCTGCTGATTCTGACAGAAAAGAGTGAGCAAAATGGTGGCTCAGGTCTTGCTTCAGTTGTCCAGTTGATAAATTTTGAACTGGGCAGAGTGTCTTGGACAGGGATGGCTGCATTGGTGGTGAAATGCTGTGGCTGCATCTGCTTCTGGAACTGCAACTGCTTCTGAGACTTTGCCTGAGTTCTGAGAACTGATGGCCTCATGGTTGTGATATATGCTGAGTGTTGTATCCAAGGTTGAAAGACCCAAAGGGTGTATAAGGAAGTTGGTGAAGAGATTTGGATCAACTGATGCATTTTCAGCAGAACGAGCATAAGAATGCTGATACCACTGACTGAGTGTTGAATCTGGGGGCAAGGGGGGGAATTGGGACCCCTGATTTATGGAGGATGGTACCTATCTTTAGGTTCTTGTGTAGACTAAAGTTAGGTGCTTGAATGTTGCTTTGAGTGTAAAGGGTTTCAGGTGAGAGGGATTCATGAATAATACCCTTGGAGATGTTGAAGTGGTAAAGAGGGCAAAAGGTTGGATTCAGCTGAGCTCCTAAAGGTTTCAGCTACAAAAAGCTTTGAATTTTCTGTGTTTGTATCTGTTAAGTTCCTTATGGGAGAGGTGAGTGTTCCTGATTGCATCTGTGGGTTGATGCTACTGTTTTTTGGTAATTTGATGCTACTGTTGGAATGAGTTGTGAGAGCCAACTGATCTACTTCCAGGAGAATGAACATCAATGATATTAATACCACTCCTAGGAAGTGTATCAATTGGATGAGTGGTGGCCATGAGGATGAACCTGCAAACAGAGAAATGTGTTAGTAGGAAATTGAACATTTGTGCTCAGTTTTTTGGGAAAGCTGTATTTGAGAGGTTCAGGGTGGTGTGCAGAATTGCATTGCCAACAGAAGGGGGGTGCTCCTAGGTTCTTGTGGGTTCTAGAAGCATTGTTGGGGAGGGGAAGGAATACCAGAAGAGGTGCACATAGGAATTGCATTTGTTTCAGGTTTTTTTCCTCTTTTTGAAAAGGTTTTTTGTGTTGGTGGTGAAAATCTGGTGGTCTATTGTGATGAATGGTATAGGAGGAATCCTGCTTCTCTTTATGATCTTCATCATTCTTTTGTTGTAATTTCAGAGGAGTGAGCACAAGTGCTGATACCACCCCTTGGAATATCAACAAAGGACTGGTGAGTTCATAAAAGAGATGGACCTGCAAAAAAGAAAACAGAGTTAGTGAAAGCTTCCTGTCTGACCATCTCCTTTAGTTGTTGGGATGGGCCTCCTTCTTTGATATTGCTTCAACCATAACCATTAGATGTGGAGAGAGGACTTGCATGTTGAGGTGGTACCAGCAGCCTGTTAGTTTTCTTGTGTCTGGAGACTGGGGTACTCAATTGGTCTTGGACTATTTGACCTCTGATATGGGATGGTAATGATGCAGCATTGGTGAAATGAGTTGGTAAAGTGAGTTCATGACTGAGTTTTGAAAGGGAATCAGCCGGGCAATTTGCTTCTCTATAAACATGAGTAACCTTGAAATCCTCAAAGAGAGAGCATAGGAGCCTGAGTTGAGAGATCTTCTCACTTAAAACCCATGGAAGGTCATTTTCCTACCAATTTACTAGGAGTGCAGAATCTGCTTCCAAATGAATTCTTGGAAATCCACTATCCAAACACCACTGAACTCCTATTCTGGCTGCTTCAGTTTCAGCATAATTGTTGGTACCCTCCCCCAATGGAATAGCCATTGCATGAATGAAGTGACCATTTTGGTTCCTGATGATGACACCTCCTCCAATCTTACCAGGATTTGTCATTGCACTTCCATCTGAATTGATTTTGACAAATCCATTGTCTGGCTTGCTCCATGTGACTTGAGTTATGGTAATGTGGTGCTGAAGGTTTTCAATGAAGGCGTAAAGTTCCCCCCAATTAAAAGGCCATTGGAGGTCTGGGTAGTTGGATCTTAGGAGTAGGTTGATGTCTGAATTGACTGAGTAGAGGACTCTAGTAAGGGAAGAGTTTTTGGCCCCATACTTGGCACTACATCTGTTCTTCTAAAGATTCCAGCAAATGATGATGGGAAGAGTATCTAGGATGAGTTTTTGCACAGTATTATTAGTTTTCAGCATCCACCATTTCATAAGAAGCAACCTCAGAGGCATGTTCTCAGTTTGGATGCCTACATAGCCACCATATTTCTTCCATATAATTCTTGCAAAATTTCCAGAATTGAAAAGGTGATCCACTGTTTCCAAGGCATGCATGAGTGATGAGTTGAAGGAAGGTTTCTACCCCTGGATTGACCAGGTTTGTATTTATTTTTTCTCATATTTCATATGCTATTGAGTGGAATCTTTCGCTTAATGTTGAATTAAACAAGTGATATTATGCCTGAAAAGGGTGCTCCGGCATTAGTTCCATTTCTGAAATTCTATTTCCATACAGTAGTCAAAGAAGCTGGGGTTAAGATTGTTTAATTTCCTTTAGTTTCTTTATTTTTCTACAAACTTTTTGATTATGAATATGGTACTTACTGTATATTGGTTTAAAGCCATGCAGGAGTTGTTATGATATGCCAAACTGACTGTAGAGAAAGGGATAGCAGATTTCGAAAATGAGATTAAACTCTTGGATTGCAGGAGTTGTTATGATATGCCAAACTGACTGTAGAGAAAGGGATTGCAAATTGCGAAAATGAGATTGAACTCTTGAGCCTTGGGTTGGATGATCACAACTCTAGAAGAGCACAAAAATGAGGCAGGCAAAGTCAGTTTGTTTTAGAGTCGGCGTTACTGTTTTAGATACTCCAATAACATTGCATGTGTTGTACTATGAATTAAAAAGCTCATTTTGGGGTAGAGATGGATTTTATTTGCTAAAGAATGAAAAAGATTTACAAGTTAGTGTCCATGATCTGAAATTGCAGTCATCATGTGATTCATTGCATTCAATGGATTATACTTTTCCTGGATCTAAAGATTGTTTTGCACTTTGCTACTTTATTTTTTGTCTTCCTTCAGGAAGTGAATTGATATTCATCAATAAGTGTGGGAAATTTTGAGGCAAAACAACACATTTCCACATTTCACTTTGGCAAGAGGCCCGGGAATAGATGTGTGAAATATGAAATATGGACACCTGAAACAAAATCAAAGTTTCCTTCAATAATTTACTTCATAGAAGTAGAAAGCTGGCGCCTGAACCTCCTATGTTGGGCTGTAGCTGTGCAAACAATACATACAATACTGTCGAGCATATGCCCGTGCACAGCGCGGGCACCAGCCATCTAGTAACTATATAATAAGTGAAGCCCTTAGGTACGACGAAGGACAATCTCGAAATATTTTTGGTTTTCAAGGGTGCTTTTATATTTTGATTCTCAGTTATAGCCCTTGTGGGACAGCTAGCGTCCAAGTCTTTTTGCTTTTCTTCACTTTTCCTTTCACGCTTCACTTTCGCTTTCTCGGAAGCGGCTTGAATCTCCGTTCTTCCTCTCCATAGATTCATTTCCATCGATTCCTTCGGCACCATGGTGTAGAGCTTTCTCTTGGAAGTAGAGTCGTGTAGAGCTTTGTCCTGGAAGTAGAGTCACCATGGATTCCATCGTCAATATTGATATTTTTCCCTTGAACTTTGATAATAATATGAATTTTATTTTATTGTTTATATCTGTGAATTGGTCTTTTTAGATTGACAGAGTTATTATTTAACTTTTTTCTTCACTGAATCTTGTACATGCAATCAGGAATTAGGATTTAATTAAGTGAAACATTATCATCCATTTGCAGAATACTTCAAAGAATGTCGATTCCTAGCGCATACCTTCAAATATTTTTTTATCAGGGTAGGTTAACAGTTTTTTCTACAATCACAAACAACTAATCCTATTTTGTTGGTTTAGATATAGGGGTTCTGACTTAATATAAGTTAAAATCGGTCAGATGAGTTCAATTTGGTATTTTCGATCTTTGCATGTTGCTGCTTTGTATTTTCACTCTTATAGTGGCCTCTATTTATGCATGGCCTCCTTTGTTGTAATGGAATACAATTTAATTTTGTAAATACAAGTAATTTCTAGCGGCTTTTCTTACAGGTATAACAATCGAAAAACAGCTGGTAATTTTGGAAGAAAACTGCAACCTCAGGGGCTTATATTCTTCTATGTGTTTCTGGTGCTTCTTCTATTGTTCTGTGCATTTCTTCACACTTCAACTGTCAGGTAACTCTTATACTTACGATGAATGTGAGAAAATGAACTGATATAATATTCTTTCCATATCCTTCATGTGTTAAAGAATCTGCTCTAACAAAAGGAAGAAGGATAGTATGACTATCACTGACATGGTACAGGTAATAGGTATGTGAAAGAGCTTAATTTTCTATAAGTAACTTCTTAGTTGTGACTTGTAAGTTCTACATAGAAATAGGATAATGCTTGAATGAAAGAAAAAAAACAGAGTTTAATCTGTTACTCAACAAATGTTTGGTTATATATAGAAAATAGCCCAAAATACTACATAGTGACCATTGGTCGTACCTAGCAAAATCCAAAATTATTTATGACTGACTCGCTATTAATTGATATTTTGTTTATATAGCAAATTTTACTTTAGTGCATTTGGTATAAAAATGTTATATATAGATTTGTTTATGACCAGGATTGCTGCTTTCCTTTTTTTGCAGAATGTTGAATTGAAATGCATGAAGGAGAAAAAATTAAGAAAAGTAAGAAACATGAAAGATAGTCTTTATTTTAAAGATGTATTGGGCTCTAGCATAACTTAGTTACCATTTTATACCTAAATATACTTTATTTTTGCAGCCATGAATGAGCTATACAACTCTACAAAGTGATGATGTCATACCCAAGGCACACAAAATAAATTTTGTAAGTTTAGAAATGTGATTTTGGTGATTTTTTTAAACTTACAGTAATCCAGAGCAAGCTTGCCTCATATCTTTGGTTATGCCATAATTAAAAATTTGATGATAGATTTTATTCTTGTGCCGTGGGATTCAATACAGTGAGGTTCAAGATCTTGTGGATGATGGTCCAATAAAATCTGGAGTTTGAGCGTTGAAATGCACAATTTGGTCGTCCAAGGATAAAATCGTACGGTGCATAGTGAGGGCTGTTTTTTCCAAATTGGTTTTCACACGTATACTTTTTGAACGACGTGTTTTGAATCTTCTCTTCTTTCTTCGTATCCATATTTCTAGAATCGTACGTTGTGGATCGTACGTTGTGGTTTCCCATAGCGCTCTTTTTCCCTCTCTTACATCATCTTCTTCCTGGATTCTGATTATTTTTTTTCCTGAAATTTTTCCTCTGCCCTTTTCGAATTCCATATACTCCGTATTATATTTTCCGCGTAGAAGGTATAGAAATTTCTTATGACTATTCTAGAACTACCTGTTCTTTTGCTCTTCTCTTAATTGATTCTACTTATGCATGTCCAAATTTCTTGGTTGTCTTCAGATTGTGTCAAAGAAAGTTCTCTGAGAGGTTGTGACGTTTTAGAGATAAGAGCGCTCTGCAATGAGGTATTGTTGAATTTTGTTGAAGGCAATTGTAGAATTTCTTGATTTCTTTAGCTTTTCCTTTGGACTGATTTTGCACATGCTTCTTTTCATTGACTGTTTTATGTCAGTTTGGTGGCAAACAATGGTACTAAAAGAAACTCAATGAGAATATAAATGCTATGTGAATAAAAAAATTCAAAGGTAAGTAACGCAGTTATGTTACTTCAATTATTTTGGTTGCCTTTTATAGTTATCCTTCTGCATTTGTGGTAAGATTACTCTAATGACACGAGAGTATACATCAGTCATAAGAGGCATGACTATTGACCTAACACTTGTGGAATTTAATCAATCATTTTTTACCGCTAACACATTGTTGTTTCTTTCAAGGAATAGCCTAAGCAGTATTCTTGTTTCCTATAAAGTTCTATTAGCGTTGTCTGTAATTGTTACTCTGGACTATTAGATCGGTAAATCATGGTTGACTAGGAATATGTATGTGAACTTATTTAGACTGTTTTTGGCTATTACTGGATTGAAGGTCGTGGAAAAGGGATCTTGGAACGTCAGCACCTTTTGGCTGAGTGTCAAGCAATTTGCCAATATGACAAAAAAAATGATCATGGATTTGAAGAAGTCATGATAGGTGATTTTGCTAGATGTCAGAGTTATGTATCAGACTTTATTTGCCACATATATTGGCTAAGATGAATTATTAGACTGATTAGGCTATTGCCTCCTTAAAGTTAACGTTCCATCTGCTCAACCAGATGATGTTAGGGGGTGTAATTGATCTACTGATGGTTTCGATTGTGAAAAAATATTCATATTTAGACCAAATTAAATTCAACTGTTGGTCTCTTGGTTATGTAAGTGGTTTCTTAACTGCATCTGCACATGCATATTCTATTTTTAGTCATGGCAAAAGAACATTCATTTCTACATGAACTTGTGTTTAAAAACTGGAAACTAAATACAATTGGTAAACCTCATATTGGTAGATATGCCGCACCAGTAGTGAAGTGTAATAGCACGTCGATGTAAGATATAGTCCAGTTCTCTTTCTAAATCTGTTTGTAAGATTAGGAATTACAACTGTTGATCATAAAATGTTTGATGGAGTTTACCTTACGCCTTAGGAGATGTGCTAACAACGACTAAAATCGTAGGTGTTAGAATTGAGTTTTACTGCACAAGAGCTTCTGAGATGTACGAGGATTTTAGCTATATGCACTGATGGAAAATTTATTAATGCCACTTTTGCAGGGCTGGTTATTCTTTTAGTTGCCCACCTTGTTCTTTTGTTGTGTTTAGAACTTTTGATAGCAATTTTAATGAATTTAGAATTAGCTGATGATATTGGCCAAACTTTGTTATATGAACTTGATATCTTTGTTGAATATGTAGATGCAAATGAAATTGTCCTGGTATAGCCATCTGATCTATTCTAAGTCTGCTCCCTTTTTTATGTTGAAGTCTTGATTTCCAAGTTTAACGCATTTTATGATTACTTCTATTTGTTTGGATACTGGTGCACTTCCTTGCTCTCTTTTCCTTTCCCCTAATTTTCAACCTCTGGTTAGTATTTTCATTTTCATACTTTTCTCTCCTGTATTTCATGAAGATCCTCTCAGTAGGAATTTACAACTTTGTAGGTAGATTTTCTCTTTTAATGTTTAATGCAATTTATGATTTTCCTTTTTTAATTCAAGCTTATGGTATCTCTCTACATGTTTGAGTGCACCATGCTTGTTAAGAATGTACGGTGTTGTCTCCTTCTGTTTTATTAAACAATTTTTACCTCTCGAGTTAGATTTGCGGTTGAAGAACCGTTTTAACATGGTATTATAACCGGACCCATAATCTAGGATGCACAGCCTGGATGTGGAGGTTGGGAGGGGGGGGNAGTAGAAATGTTGAAGTTGTATAGAGTATTAATTTTAGTTAGTTATTTTCTTTTTCAAACGTTAGTTGTTTAATAATTTGAAATGAGAATACCAAGTCATAACAGTGGGACGTGGGTGTTATAGATGAGAGTGTAAGTCAGTGTAATTAATCTAATTGAATTATATTATTAGTTATCTCATAGTATGTTGCCCATTTCCTTTATTTACTTTCTATTCTTTACTTCCTAATTACATAGTTCCGAACAATTTGTCAAGTGCTTTTTTATTTAATTAAGAGTATTACAACTTAATCTTACTTGAATTTGAACAGAGACTCAAGTATGAGAATCCACTGCATGCAAGAAAGCCCACAAAGGGGCCGATGGATCTTGGATCAAGTTTCCCAAGCAAAAGCTGGATATTGCTTAAGTTACGATGATTGCTAAATTTGAGCCTGATTTTCTCTAGCATCTGCTTGTTAATAAGCATCTGCTTTCATATACTCACAGTCAAATTAATAACAGAACTCATAAACGAGAAAATTTGGAGAGAGTGTTCATTCACAAAAGGTCAGCACTTTGAATTAAACTACATTCGAAGGACACCTTTAATAGTAAGAAGTAAAATTTGAACATGGTCGAATGACTATGACTATGTGCTCTAATCTCAACCATCTAATTTAATTTAATGGTATCCCCAAGGCAAGGGAAACCATCTTTTCATAGCATCAACGAATCCATTGGTCTTTTCTTCTCCTTTGCCTTCTTGTTCGTATTCTTTTTCGCCCTCAAATCCATTGGTCTTTTCTTCCCCTTTGCCTTCTTTTTTGTGTTCTCTTTCTCCCGAAGAGCTAGCCCCCGAAAAACATAAGAGTATTATATTATGTGATAAATCTATAATCAAATTAAATGGACAAATAAGAAAATGTTAAAAAATCATATGGAATACCATACCTTGTAAGTTTTAGGAAATTTTTGACCCAGATTTTTACCAAGAGGGACCAGATAAGAGATAGCTTCAAATTCCAAAATGGTTTTTTTACTCATAAAATTTTGGTGTCATTCATTAATTTTATTCAATATCGAGTATAGGTAAAAAATATGAAGTGAAAAAAAAAATCATAAACTTACATGCTAATCTGATCTTTCAGAGCAATCCAAGTGTGCGTCTATCCTACCAAACTGCTTGTTATTGCTATCCAATGTGTGATAACTACGGTGAGAAACACCAACTATGCCACCTATGCCATAAGCACCGTGGTACACAAACAACTTGTAAAGTATGGTATTTACTCCTTGTTTCTTTACCCAGGCATCAACCTTCTCACCAATCCGAACTTAACAATTTTATCAGCAAGCAACTTCATTCTATCTAGTCAAAATATTAAGAAGAAAAAAATAAACAGTAAATGAAAAGGAATTGTACTAGTTATCCATGCTCATTAGGAAGACAAAAAGATTAATTAAGCACAAACAAACATAACCAAACTTATGCATTAACGATTAATGAGGTAACTTGTAAGGTACATATATATATTTTAAAGACTTGGCAAATAAAACCAACACCCAACATTTAATTTAGGATATTCAACCAAAACGTTATTATATACAAATTTTACATATAAGAGAACACAGACGACCATCAGTCAAATAGCTAATATACCAAAGTTATCTGATTTCACATAATATCAATATATAAATCCAAACTTGGGTATTCAAAGAATGAAGTCTCCATGTTGGCACCATAACTAATCACCAAAAAATAAAACCTTAAAAAAGAGAATGAAATTACCACAGAATATAGTCAATGAAATTACCACAGAATATAGTCACAGATAAGCACTTGCAATGTACAAAAGAAGAGTGATTCTGAGTACCAAAAAAATTGCTCACCGTCTGATAACAATGGAATCTGGTAACAATTGCTCCTTCTAAAACCCTCATCTCACCGTCTCAAGGAAAGAAACATAAATAAGAAAACCAAAGACAAACAAACAGAGATTCTGAGAAAGCTGCAACAAATCAAACTGACAATATAAATCAAAAAACTTAAAAATAGTTAAGAGGGCATAGAAGAGTGATTCATTGATATCGTCAAATTCAATTCTTTTTCTATAAGTTATTGCCAATGTCAATTCTTAGTGCAATATGTCTTAGGACAAGCATGGGAAGAGAGGGTAAGAAAGCCAAAAAAATCTTTTATACACCTTTACTTCAAGAATCAGAGATTGGTAGATTCTCAAAGTCAAGAAACAGTAGTTTGAGTGGCATCTCACTGATTTCAATAAACAATCAAATGATTTTGGCATAGTACACATACACTGAAGTATAAAATTAATCGCCTAAGTAATACTAAAAGAACATGAAAGAGAAAGAATTAAATAAATAAAAAGAGAAGAGAAGTTCATAACTCTAACAAGCTTTATCCATAAAGAACTAAATCTAGCAATAAAAAAGAGAAAACATAGTCAATCTCTAAGATCTGAAACTATCTATAAAAATAAAATACTTTCTGATACATCAGAGATCTTTTCTCCAACAATACACACGTACTGGATGACAACATAGCATCTTGAAATTTAAAATGAAATATGCAGAACAAATAATGTCCCAACATAATGAACAGACTCCTTCGCTGAAAGAGACAACTGATCCCAACAAGCAAGGTTTATATCGATAACTATTTTTAGCAATTGACATAAAACTTAAATCATGACATCTTGCTCTGGGTTGGAGCCAATAAGGAATGAGGAAAGAACACAAATATGAAAATGAGGACGCTAATTAGTAATACCAACAAGTGCCTTCATGTATCCCAGACTTAGGAGCACTAGCAGTAGAATGAAAAAAATAGAGCATGATTTTTTTTATCTTCAACCTCTCCATGCCCTTCTTCCTCACTTTGGTAAAAAAAAAATAAAAAAAAAATAGGAGAAAACAGTTTGAAGATGAAAAGCCAATACTCAAAAAAGATCCATTTGAGCTTCTTTTACAGCATAAATATGCCAGATCCACTTTGCAACAGAGGACACAAATGAAAGAAAACAAAAAGGTAAAAAGGCATGTTGTTTCTTTTGAGAAGCAAATATAAATCAGACTATTGTCACAAAATGTTGACTTACTTTGGTCGCAAAACAAGTCTCGTCTCAGGAATTTTACTTATTATCGCAAAATGTTGTCTAACAACTGAATATCGAAGATTGACGGCCTGAAATTAAAGCAAACAGAAAATTAGAACTGAAACTCAAAGAAAAATTTTGAACAACCTTGGCTCTACCAGAATGGAATACATACCACTATGGAGACATGAAACTTGATCCAAAGAAGAAGCAACATTTTTTTCTTTTTTCTGTTTTTTCCGGGTGATGAAACTCTGACTATATAGAGTGTAGAGTTTATGTGTCTCATTCTGTGAGGACGAGTACCAGTGAGGGTCTGAGTAACTGTGTGTGGTTAAAGTGTATCAGTGTGTGCAAGATTTTTTTATTTTTTTTGGTATTTTGGCTTTCCCTCCTTTTTTGCTATTTTCTTGCCTTGTATGGTAAGACATAATATTCCTAAAAGTGCTGCTCCAAGAAATATGGAAGTTGTGTGCAAGGACGTCTCAATAAAATTCGTGACCTAAAGTCTAATTTTAATAAGAGGCCTTTTTTTCTTTTTTATTTTGTTTATACTGTAGTTATCTTACAAAATATAATACTAATATTTACTTTGTTTTTTCTTTTCTTTTTGTCTGTAATTTAGTTATGTTACAAAATATAATACGTAATACTCATATTTATATTGGTAAGAAAATTAAAGTTACTAAGATGTTAGCCACGTATTTACAATGTGTTACCATGGATCTTATTGTAAAAAATATTATTTACCAATACGAAAATTTGAGTATCTTAAGTCAAAGTTCTAAAATATTTCTATTATTAAAAATAGACAATCTTTATTTCTACTTTTATAAGGAGTTTGTATAAACTTCAATATTGTCTAAGCAAAAATAAGATATAAAATTCACAATTATTTTTGAGACCCCAAAATTAAAGGGGCCTAAAACAAATGTTTTACTAGCCTGCCCCTTGAACCACCCCTTACGTGAGGCCTCTCAAATGCGCTCGTTATTACCTTACAGTGCATGTGTGCATAGAAAAATCCAAAGCAAAAAGAGTGAGGTGGCAACACCTTGTTTTTCTTGTCCATCATTTTGATTCTTTTTTTATTTTGTTTTTTGTAAAGATAATTTAAAGTTAAGAATACTACACCAATATATATATAGTTTCTCGACACGTGTATTACACGTGTTTGTCAAGTTTATAATACATGACATGTATATAATACTACATATAGAAAGAAGATATTAAAGAAATAACTATAGATGAACGAATAAAATATAAGTTTTTATGAATGATCAATCTATTATGGTTACCATTCTTGTTTGAAATTAAAAATAATGTCAAAAACTTTTACTTCTTGCAAAATTGTTATTATATTAGTCAAATATATTAAAATAATTCTAATTTATAAATAGTAGAGTACTCTGTTGGAAGATCACAAGAAAAATTTATAATAGATGAAATATTACATCTCTAAGAAGAAGATAACAATTCTAAAATCAAAGTTCGTTTCAAAAAAATACCATGCTTTGAAAGTTTGTCCCAGAAATATACAAACTTTGCAAATAAATAATTAACTTAAGTCAACAAATAACATAATTCGTGAATGTGACATAGTGACTGAACAAGCTAAATATAAGCGCATATTGCTAATCTATCTATCTATCTATCTATCTATATATATAAGTTTGTATTGTGGTTAAGCCAAGTGGCTAACTATTAAGAAGCCACTTGGCAAACTTAGAACAAGAGATGATTAATTACTGAAATCAAAATGGAAACAAATTAATTCAAATTTTGATTTGCCTACTTCCCTTTAATAATTAGTGGAAAGAAGGAGGAAAATTAATTAACGCGTAATCTTTAATCCAAATCCACGTCTCTTCTTAAGTAGTTCAAATCAAGTTTTACACTGTAAAAATAAATGCAATAAATATATTAAAGTGAAAAATAAGAAATTTTGAATAAAATAAAATAATTTGAATCTATATATCTATTAAAGAAATAATGTTTTCATTGTGGTTAAGCAAAGTGTCAAGCTATTGTAAAACCATTTGGCAATTTAGGACAATATGTATAATAACAACAACAACAACAACAACAACAACAACAACAACAACAACGATAACCCAGTACAATATGTATAATAACATTTAATTTAAATTGAAAGGTAAGACATTTTTTTTTAAATTTAAAAGGGAAGATAGTAAATAAGATTTTTCTAAAGATACATTATTTAATTTAGTAAAAAAAAATATTACATTATTTAAATTATCAATAACTTACAAATTGAGAAAATTAATCAAATATTATAGTAGAAAAAAATGATGAAAGGAGGGGGATAAGGATAATTTTATGATAGTTATATTTTAAATTAATTAAAAAACAAAATATAAATAAATAACTCTCAAAAATATTATTGATAAATTTAGACAATTGAAGAATTTTGAACAGTATAACATAAGTTTTAAAAATAAAAATATTTCTAGAGTAAGAAAATATATATCCATGTTATATTAAAAGAGAAGTAGTATCAAAATATTAAGTCAATTGACAAGATTATAAAAATCACATTAGTAAATAAATAATACTAAATACTTGATAGTTTAATAAAAAATAAATAAGGGACAATAATTTATTTGATTACTATATGATGTGTATCCTTTGATTTTGTATAGATTTATTATATTTCTGCATACTAATAAGAAAATAAAAGCTAATATTTATTAAAAGAAAAATATATTAGTTCATAATTTTATAAGATTAATATTCTGTCAAATCAAGTTTTACACTGTAAAAATAAATGTAATAAATATATTAAATTGAAAAATAAGAAATTTTGAATTAAAATAATATAATTTGAATCTATATAACTGTTAAAGAAATAATGTTTGCATTGTGGTTAAACAAAGTGACAAGCTATTATAAAGCCATCAGGCAATTTAGGACAAAATATATATTAACATTTACTTTAAAATGAAAGGTAAAATTTCTTTTTAATTTAAATGGGAAGATAGTAAATAAGATTTTTCTAAAGATACGGCGTGTCGATATCTATTAAAGGAATAACGTGTGCATTGTGGTTAAGCCAAGTGTAACGACACGACCGATCGTTTTGAGCTTTTGCACTTTTCTCACCAGTTCACGGGCATGACTTGCCCCGTGTGATGTATTATGACTTATGTAAATCGTTGGTTTTGGTTTTCAGGGTAATCGGAATGAATTTGGAAGAATAGTTCTCAGTTTGAAGCTTGAAATTTGAAAGGTTTGACCAAGTTTTGACTTGTTTGTATGTGATCTCAGATCGGAATTTTTATGATTTGGTTAGTTTCGTTAGGTGATTTAGGACTTAGGAGCGTGATCAGAATGCATTTTGGAAGTCCGTGGAAGGTTTTGGCTTGAATTGGCGAAATTGAAATTTTGGCGTTTTCCGGTTGATAGGTGAGATTTTGATAAAGGGGTCGGAATGGAATTCTGGAAGTTGCAGTAGCTCCGTTGTGTCATTTGTGACGTGTGTGCAAAATTTCAGGTCATTCGGATGTTGTTTGGTTGGGTTTTTTTATCAAAAGCGTAATTTGAAAGTTCTTGAAATTCTTAAGCTTGAATCAGATGTGATTTTAATGTTTTTATGTTGTTTTGAGTGTTCCAAAGGTTGGAACAAGTTTGAATGAGGTTATGGGATGTGTTGACATGTTTGGTTGAGGTCCCGAGGGCCTCGGGTGAGTTTCGGATGGTTAAACGGATCAATTTTGGACTTTAGACTTGGCAGTTTTTGCTGGTTTTGTGTTGCAGGCAATTTGTTCTTCGCGTTCGTGGTCAGGGACTCGCGTTCGCGAAGGGTGTTTTTGTGTGATGATATTTTGTTCTACGCGTTCGCGAGGATGAGAACACGAACGCGAAGGTGGAGGATTCATGTGCATCGCGGACGTGAGACTGGGGTCGCGTTCGCGTAGAGGAGTAAGGTCGTTTGGCACCCCAGGCCCATGTGCTATGCGTTCGCGAGAGTTGCATCGCGTTCGCGAAAGCCTGGTATGGCGAAGCATCGCGTTCGCGTGGAGTTGTCCACGTTCGCGAAGGGAAAAGTGGAGAGGCAGTGAATTTGGTCTACACGAACGCGAGAGGCCGGTCGCGTTCGTGAAGAAGGTAATTTTACCTGGGGCAGAATGTTTAAAAAGTGAGTTTCTCAATTTTTGGTCTATTTTCTCTATTGTTGAACAATTTTTGGAGATTTTGAGAAGGATTGAAGAGGGAATCGAAGGGAAACACTTGGAGGTAAGATTTTTGAACTCTATACTCGATCATATGCTGATTCTTACTTGTTTAATCATGAAATATGTGGAAATTAAAGCCTAAAATTGGGGAATTAAGGCTTGAATTTGGAAAGTGTAAATTGGGAATTTGAGGGGGCAATTGAGGTCCGATTTTTATGTTCTTTGTATGTATAGACTCGTGAGAGGATGAGGATTCCATTGATTTTAATTTCGTTGGATTACAAGACATGGGCCCGGGAGCCGGGTTTGAGCAATTTCGGGATTTTTTATGTAAATTGAATATTTTCGAGTGGGCTTCGTTCCCTTAGCATATTCTAATGGTTATGTACTGATTGTGGCTAGACTTGGAGCATCCGGAGGTCAATTCGTGAGGGCAAAGGCATCGCGGGCTAGAGTTTTGACCGGATCGAGGTAAGTAATGATTGTAAATGCTGTCCTGAGGGTTTGAAACCCCGGATTTCACATTGTTGTGCTTCTTTGAGGTGACACACACACTAGATGACGAGCGTGGAGTCATACAACATTGGGTATTGTGACTTGGTCCGTCCCGTACGGCTGTTAAGTCACGTATTTGATTTGAAATCTTATGATATTCTATATTTTAGAGATTTATATTATATTTTGGGTTGTATGCCATGCTTGGGGTCTTGTGTCGACCTGTTGAGACCCTTAAGGGCATTTTTACTATTTTTCCTCACTCTATTTATTTTGAAAGCATATCCTGAGTCATGTTTTACCTGTTATCATTTAAATCTGGTTTTATCACTTTACTTTGTAAAATGTGAAAACTATTTGGGTTGAGTTCCCTGATTTACTGATGGCCCGAGTGATTGTGAGATTGATGACTGAGATAGACCGAGGGTCTGATTGTGAGGTTGATGACTGAGATAGACCGAGGGTCTGATTGTGAGGTTGATGACTGAGATAGACCGAGGGTCTGATTGTGAGGTTGATGACTGAGATAGACCGAGGGTCTGATTGTGAGGTTGATGACTGAGATAGACCGAGGGTCTGATTGTGAGGTTGATGACTGAGATAGACCGAGGGTCTGATTGTGAGGTTGATGACTGAGATAGACCGAGAGTCTGATTGTGAGGTTAATGACTGAGAGAGGTCGAGGGTCGGGTTGTGAGGATTATATATTTATGGATCGGGTTGCACGCCACAACAATATATATATATATATATATAT